CATCCATCCATCCATCCATCCATCCATCCATCCATCCATCCATCCATTTTCTTCTACTTATCCAGGGTCGGGTTGCAGGGGTAGCAGCTTAAGTAGGGAGGCCCAGACTTCCCTCTCTCCAGCCACTTGGGCCAGCTCCTCTGAGGGAATGCCAAGGTGTTCCCAGGCCAGCCGAGAAATATAGTCCCTCCAGCGTGTCCTGAGTCTTCCTCTGGGTCTCCTCCCGGTGAGACGTGTCCGGAACATCTCACCAGGGAGTTGTCCAGGAGGCATCCTAACCAGATGCCCGAGCCACCTCAGCTGGCTCCTCCTCTCGATGTGGACAAGCAGCGGCTCTACTCTGAGTCCCTCCCAGATGACAAGCTTCTCACCCTATCTCTAAGGGAGAGCCCAGACACCCTGGAGGGGTGCCAAGATGGCGGAGAGGAGGTAGACGCTACGTCGGAGTTTCTCCCAAAACTTTGTTGAAAAACGGCATCTTTAATGATTGTTGGTATTTTGTAGCAATGCCAAATAATCCCACGTCGAAAAGAAAGAGTGACATTCCTCCTTCTCTTCCACCAACTAAATCCACCAACACCAAAAAAGGCAAAATGGAGCCAGAATCGGCAGTCAACATCGTGAAGGAGCTAAAGCTAGCTATCCACGAACAAGGATCTTCCATCGAAAAGTCCATCGAAAAGTCCTTGGAAAAGTCTTTGGATGAACTCAGAAGGTCAGTTGAATTTCTTTCTGCTGACTTATAAGACATCAAAGGAACAATACAGAACACGGTGAAGAGAGTGGATACTGCAGAAGAGAAAATAAAAATGTTAGAAAATAAAGTCGTCGAATTGTCACGCGACAAACGCCGTTGGAACCTACGCCTGCGTGGTTTGCACGAGGCAGAGGGAGAAGACGTGAGGATGAAAGTGATCGAAATTTGCCAAAACATTGCTCCATGCTACAAAGAGAAGTTTGCTGAAGTGATTGACTCAGTGCACAGGCTTGGAAGAACAAACGCAGGTATGGCTCAGGGCATACGCGGGATATTATCATCCAATTTTCCATGAGGCACTACCGGGATGCAATATGGAAGATGTCTAAAAAGGCTGAGTACCTGACACAGAGGAACCTACGTTTCATGGAGGATCTGACTCCGGAGGATCGTGAAAAAAGGAAGCGTCTGTGGCCCACCATTCAAAAGGCAAGGGAGGAGAAGAAGCTGGCCTACTTCGTCGGAGGGAGAGCCTTTGTGAAGAACAAAGAAATTTTCTAACTGGTGTTTTGAAAGGGAGAATGCTCTATGATTAGTCTAATCTAAGAGTAAATCACTGCTCTGACTTTTTTGTTTGTTTGTCGTTTGTCTGTTCCTGTTGAACATTTCTACTTTAAAATTTATTTCAGTTAATACTCAGAGTCAGAGTCAGAGTTTCTTTATTGTCATTCGCACCTCATGTGGTACATGTGGTGGAGCGAAATTATGTACACGGGGTCCCAGTTACATCCAACAATAAAATGTATAAGAAAAACAGTAATAACATCTAAGATATGAACTAAGAAAAACATCAACTAAATATACACTAAGCATTCATAACATAAAACATTGAACATCAGCACAAACATGAACATGAGTCTGTGAGCAGATGTGCACGCATGAACACATCAACATTGAAACAGATCAGCAGCAACATGATATGTTACATGATACTCGAGGCTTAAGAGACATTACTAAACGCAAGCCAGTTTTTCTTTATGCAAAACAGTTTGACTCAGACTCTTGCTTGGTTCAAGAATCACTCTCTGCTGAAGAAGATTACAACTTCTGGAAATCACAATGGGGCGAGGACCTGTGGATGTCCCATGGAAACCATCACTCAGCTGGAACTTTAACCCTGAAGCACAAATTTAATGAGAAGATTATTTTCACTCAATCTGACCCAAATGGACATTATATGTTGATAGTTTTTTGTTACTGCAACCAGTTTTATCTATTAGGTAATGTTTATGGTTACACTAACACAAGAGAAAACAAAAGAGTTATTCCAAACACTGAGTAATACTATTGAAAGTATCATGGAAAGGTTCACTGATGTTAAAGTAATACTGGGAGGGGATTTTAATTGCA